GTATCCATTGGTAACTTGTCGGCCTTTGACGTCATTGGCAGCAAAGCGCGCGAAATTGTAGGCGACGCGAAACCAAACTTCCCTCGTGCCTTACTCGACTGATAATCGTAGTACCTCGGTGAATTCTTCCTCGAGTTGAGGCTAGATTTTGAACCCTTTTGGGGATTCAGTCCTACACTTGTTACACCAACGTGTTCAAGATTTATACGAAGCACTGCTTCGATTTCGGCCAACTTGGTCTATAATACGGTGATACCGAGTGAGGAATGGATGACCGTGTGAGTGCCCCCAATCGAACAAGTGGACGAACACGAGCATGTCTTCCCGACGAATATGATCGAAATGCCGTTGACATACCGATTCGTACGGTTCAAGCCCATCAATTCAACAAACTTGAGAAATTGATGTCCTCAGAACACCGCTAAAGCAACACAAAAGCTGCCTAGTTTTAGCCTTAGCGCACATCATAACGTAAATTGCCCCTGGCTCGCCGCTTGCGAGCATAAACTCTCACGAAACAATAACAATTTCACACCGTGTGCAGGTTCAGTTTGGCTTTGGCACAATATATAATATTAACTGAGAACTATCCAACAAATGAGCGGAGTTTAAAAGCTAAGTTTACAGTGTGCGCTCTAAGTTTTGTATCTTTTTGACTGGCGATAAGACTCGCTGCGAGATCCATGTAGAAGTTGCAGGTATTTTGTAGTTTTGGTAAGGTGTACCGCTGACCAGCAAAATACTGTATCGCGCCCCATAAAACGTATTTCCGCGGTGTCCTTTTCGGCAACCCAAAACACGACGATCGCTCATAACACTTTCGGCTTTTTGGTGCTCGACAATTTGGCTTTCTGTACTCTCGAGAAACAGTAAACAAATCCCTGATTAGGCTTCGGTGTCTCAAACGTACATTTTTCAAGAAAAACATGGCATTTTCTTCGAAAAAAGTTTAAACTTACCTCAATGATGATGATTCTTCCTCTGCCGGACAGACTTTTTCGCACGAGGCACGTCTTCTGGAAACGAGGCTCTGGAAAGCTCTTGCACCCGCATCCAGACCCTCTCGGAGAAATCCAAGATGGCGTCGATTTGGATCAACCACAAAATCGAGTTTTTTTCCGCCTGCGCAAGATTATGATTGCGTTCTCCTAACGTCGAACGCAATTAATCAAAATCGAGTGAGTGAGTGATCGAGCGCCATCCGACTGGCTTCTAGGCTTGTGGATGTTACTTTATCCATGAGCAAAAAACGAAGCTGCCAGTGATACGAGGGAATACAAGAAGATGAGGACCAGGAAGTTTTCTACGAAATGGCAAGTTGGCCGGACGTGGTTTAAGTTGGTGTGGTGTGTTGTTACGAAGACAAGAGCGTTATTTCAGACTACGAGTCAGAGGAGATGGTGATAAAGAAGCTGGAAAAAGAACTGCTGTGGAGAGAGTGAAACAGACTTCCTATTTACTGTGGCACTTGTTAATAGCCTTTCACTTTTGAAATAAATTTCAATGGTTATTCAATAGTAAAAATAAAAGATGACTTAAATGGTTGGAGAGACGGGGGGGGGGGGGAGGTAAACTTTTGGGCGAGTGAAAACTGGCGAATGGCGAATGGCGAATGCTCTCAAAATTAAGTGTCCAACCCTGCTATGGTCCGTTTCTATTTTTACTAGGATCTATCTATGGGCAAAATACAAGCGAAATCAATTTTTTCATTTGTGCCATTGATATGCGATTTTGGGCGACTCTAAAAGGCATTTACTCTTAATAATCATAAGAATCGCCTCAGGGCTCATGTTGGACTTTCGGATAGAGACAAGGAGAAAGACGACATTATTTACAACCATTTTAATGGTCCAGGTCATAATGGCCTTGGCCCTGGGAGAATATCGGCCCTCGCTCTTTTTTATGCAAAAATTAAGTTACCAAAAATCCTCATGGCATGGTAATATTTTGAATACAGTTAAGAAGAACTTACTGAGAAAAATTGGACTTGAAGTTATCAAAATTTCAATAAAAACAGACGTTTCTCATTAGCTAAACACACAATAACACATGCTTAAGCATTCTTACAAGGTTCGACATTAACTTCCTCGAGAATGCTTGAGAATTTAATCGCGGGGTCACTTAGAGAAATGAACTTAAGTGAGTTGTTTTAAATGGCATTCCCGAAGTTACCGTGCTATGAGTATATTTTTAGTAAATAATCTTTTCACTCATTGCTCGAACTTTGAGCGGAACCCGTCTTAACAATTATTCCATGAGCGCGCGTTGGATATGAGATGCTAAAAGTAAAGCCCATAGGGTCGAGTTGGCTATAGCCAATCTCATATCCAACAAGCGCGAGTGGAATAATTGTTTTGTTAAATTTGGTACGCTTTTATACTTGGAAATTATAGCTTAATTTCAGTTAATTGGATTTTAATTTCACAAAACAATCGGACGTTGATGTGGCAGAAACAACAACAAGTAGGAGATTACATGACATGCGCGCCGTTTGTTTGTAAACTTAGTTAAATGAAAAACTTGAAAGCGAAGCAAGCGGGTTTGCTGAAGGAAAATTACAATCATGTATAATTGAAAGAACGTCTATCAAATGAAGGATATACAACATTGGTCAGAAAGTTTGAAAAGAGTTCAAGTTTGAGTCATTGAGAAGAGTAATAATTATGCACTTGCACATTGCAGTTGTAAAAATACTGCGGAAAACGTTTATCGCCATGTGACACAGACGTTGTGCCAAAATTATTCTCGACAAGAACTCTTTCAGCATTCCCTGGCTGTGACTACCTTGGAATTTCGAGCTGGATGTGTGGAGCTGATTGCTAGCCAGTTTCAGAGTCAAGGAGAGAAAATATCTTACCGTCGGATTCATCTTCAGAATCTTCGAGGCCACCCAGATGGCTTTGCGTGGCTGGTAAAGAACCGGGCCGACTTCAGTTCAGCTCAAAATACTCAACTCATCGAGGGGTTTTTCGCAGGGACAGAATTGTTGGCGCTAGCTGGCGTTGATTCTCTCGTCCTCGTCGGCCAGAAAAGAGACAGAGGTAAATTAAAACTAGGTCGTCCTCTGTAGCTGTGCGGGATTTTTGCTCTCTGCCGGTCCGAACTCGCCGCTGTCGAACAGTTTCTTCATCTGCTTTTTGGAAATTGGTTTCTTAATTATGGACTGCGCCGGCAATGTTGCTCGTCTTCCTGAGTTCTTTTACAAATGCTCTAATCCTTTATTTGCATGAGTAAAAGCGGGGTCAGAGATAACGGAAAACGGTTTGTTGAGCGGCAGCGAGCGAAGGAAACGATCAATGGTGGCTCTCAGATGGATTTCATTGATGAACTTCTGTAAACTGACGTGCCATCTTTCTTTCGCGCAGACGTGTAAAAACTCTTCAGAAAAACATTCAGTTCTTCTTTCGACATTTCTTCTATCGGTTTCGAAAATTTGGTGCTACCAGGACTAGCAAGCCATTCAGTAACATTAAGGTAAAAATTGTTGTTGTAATCTTCACGAAAGCGTAAAATTTCGACGAAATTTGAAATTTTGCAGCTTTTAAGTTGCACGTTGAATAATCCCATCCCGAATTTTGTGACTTTTTTGTTTTTACTGGGACGGCATTCTCCGTAATTTCTTGTATTTCTACTGTAGATAGCTCACCCAATCTGTTTTTTCCAGCCATTTTTTTGTCCACGAAACTTGGCTTCACGCAAACAAATTTATGCCGAGCGACATTTGGCGCATTCATTTCTATATAAGGTCAAACGCTGGTATAATGGCTGGTAACCGAGATACAGTGAACCAATCAGAAAGCTAAAATTGCATTATCCGAGTTTGAGAAATTAATAACAAGATTTAACTTATGGCTTGTCTGTGTAGTCGACATAACGCACACTCTCGGAGTTGGCTAAGTCTAGGGCATTATTCCCCCATAATGAGCACGGGCCGATTACGTACCTGCAAAATCAAAGCAAAATGAACTTTAAAAAAACTATTGTCTTTTTACTAAAAGTTGTAGCGGTTAAAAACTATGAGTGAACACTCTGAGAGTGAATCCTATTAATCTGACGAGCTACAATCTTAGGAGAACAGCCAACTCACAGCGTTAAATTACGAAGGAGTTGGTGCCGTACAAGACTATGGAAACAGCCAAGAAGAAATTGAAACTTTCGTCAACGAGCAAAATAGTAAGAATACGACAAGGGAAACAGTCGATGACATGAAAACATTTCAACGTTCAAAGCAGAAGTTTCTGATTTGCGCGCTGGTTCACTTGATTTTTGCGGTTGGAAACGATGAATGATCAGATAAGTGAGCGCATTACCCGATGGCTTTTTTGTTTTGTATTGGTTTTTTTTTCTTAGTTTTTACAAGCCTTATAAACAACTACTCTTTAACTTCGAACGTTAGATCTTCACGGGGAAATTTCAAACCTCGGCCCAGCCACATTGACCTCGCTATTGCTCGGTTATTAAATACAGCAAGGTCTTGGTTTGGGATTTCCCTTCTAGCTTCACTCTCGGTTAATTGCGGGCTCAAGCAAAGCCCGCAACCCTTATCTGGGAGTCCGTTTAAAATTTATGGCTAGAATTTTTCTTCCAAAATTATCCAGAATTCCCTGGTTGCAGGTGATCTTTGAAAGGTCCAACACGTGTAAGCGGCATTGTGTTCACGTGATGGCTGTCAAAACATTATCACAGCGGTGCACATGTCGGGATTTTATTGTGATTTGGAAGGAGAGACGAGGGGGCTGTATCTCGCCCGAGTGAAAGCAAATCTTAAGATTGGCACACTTTTGCACCACTCTGACCCAGTTTGGTCACTAAGTGTAAGATCAAAGCATGGAACTAAACCAGAAACTAAACCAGAACAAGCAGAGTCAAATCACGAGTTTAAAAGATCAGTAGCATCGCAAAGATCGAGATATGATTCTTGGAAATTTGAAGCAGTAGCTGCAACGAAACCATCTCATTCAAGCATTGATTTTGTACCTCGATCTCGGAAAGACAGAGCACCATCTAGAATACCTAAGCGGAAACTGTTCAACTTATTAAAGCACGGGCAGAAAAGAAAGCAAATCCAGTCCAGAATGCTGATTGTTGTTATAACATTTGGTATATTTGTTCGACCTTAGATATATCAAATTTCACTCATCTGAAAAATGTGATCCTTCCAGATTTTCAACATCTGTCCTTGGGCCCAATAAGTTCCTCAGCCTGGTAACAACAATTCTTAACAAGTGTGTGATGCAAGAGCTATACATCTGTAGGGTAAAAATTCTGTGGTGTGCCTCATTTTGCAATCGTCCAGCCCGCATTTCCTAACCTTTGGTTACTCTCAGTAAGTAGTTTATATTGTATACCTTAAGTCATTAGTAACTGGCATTGTTACATTTACATGAACACATATTTATTTATATGCACACATATAGACATAATCTGTAACATAAAAATGTAGTAAGAATATAATTATGGTAAGGCCAGTAGCAAAATGAGAATATTCAGCGTAGGCAAAATTAATTCAGTCATACAAGAAAGAGTGTGTGATGTTTTTTGTTTTTTTAATCGGGAACAGATAAGATCTAGTTAAGATCTAGTTCAGTTTAACAGAGAACTGCTGAAATCTGTGCATTTATTGTTCGCTTAAATACCTTACATTTTATAATGGCTCTGCTTTTTTTTGTTGTTTTGTTTGTTTTTTTGGCCCCTGATAAGAAACATTTCTTTTAACTACGAGTCCGGTTAAAGCCAGCCATCAAAACAACTGCCAGGCTGTGCTTGGAAACACTGCACTGAAAATACCGGGCGCATTCGATCTTCGCAAACGCTGCCTCCATAGAAAATGTTGCTTACTTCATTCTCCTGTTTTGGTATACAGCAACTTCGCAAGAGCACTTCATTGCCAGAAATAACACTGCAACATTGTGATGATATCACCGGTGTAAACTGGATGGTAGTTGTAAATCAATGCTGCTTTCTCTTCCTGTCTGTTTGGAAATCGATGAGAACTTAAGCGAGCTAAAACCAAAAGAAATGTACGTTGTTGACATCAGTTTAAGATTTGACAAGAACAATATGTGTATTCTACATGGTCGTATGTTGAACCACCGCACATTAGTTCTAATATGTCTCCTTAACTCTTGTTAAATGATAGTATGTATCACACTAACAAAGCAATTGAATTTGAATAATATTTCCTTGTTTTGCTTGTTCAATTTATTCGGTTTGGTGAAATGCTTATTATTGAATTCATGCAGGCTTGGTTAAATCTATTTATAACATAGCGCGCGCGCTAGTCCTATCTAATTCCTATTGAGTCATCATGAACAAAATCTCTATCTACGCACGCCCGTGCGTATATAAGATGACGTGTGAAGTTTCAATTTAGCTGCAAACTTTCCGTCGAGTTTAGTGTAAGTTCCTTTTGTTTAAGTTTCGGCAATGTGAAGATTATTCTGAACAATTCAAACTCTACTTCGAGCCTTAGACTTTTGCCAAGCTAGGATGTTTACTTAAGGACAATTCTCCAGGAAAGTGAATCAAAGTTGGAAATGAAAAATTTTAACCCCCCTTCAATTTTTGTGTGGAGGTTGGTTACCTTGGGGAGTAAACAAAAACCAACATATTTGGATCGGTAGATGTATCATTGGCATGGTAACCGCTCTAAATGACGTCGGCCTCAGGACCATGTTTTGAGCAAAATGTCTCCGACGATTCTGAATTAAGTCTTTGGTTAAATTGAGCCGTACATTCCGGGGAGCATGGTTGAGATGCGAAGAAATCGTTGTTTACGACCAAACGTATGTAGACCGGAAATGCGAGGAGCAAAACTGCTGACCGGATGTACTTTCAAAATGCGATATATGCGCTTTTTGTTTGTTTGTTTTTGTAGCTTCAGATAAAGCGACGTTGTCGCAATGGCATTGTCTCTTCTTTAGATATTTTTGGTACAATATATCATTGATAGAGGGTTAAAAGGATGACTTTTGATCCGTTTTTACGATTGTTTTACAGTGGTGAATAAAGAGGACAAAAGAAAAGCGCTTCACTGATCGTTTTACGCAACCTGATCGCCTCTATTGGCTTTACTACACTGGATTTATATAAAAGAGGATACCATTGGTTTAGCTACAGTAAATCCAGGGGTACTGACAGGTGTTAAAATATGCTCAGGTTTTCGTTAAAAACAAATGATGTGCAGGCTTGAATGAGAACAAGGAAGTTAGTTTTTCTAAGAACTCTTGGACGTTCGAACTGGACGGCCCCGCAAATGATCCCAAAATTGTACCGCAAATGGTCCCGGGACCGGAACTGATTCCACCGCAAAAAGTTAGGAATGGCGTGGTCTTTGGATGGATACATATTTTCTTAATCATCCTAGGTGAAGAAAAGACAAGTACCTCTAGCATAATAATATCAATTTATATTTCGTCAAATTCGTTGGCCAAAGCCTTATTAACTCAACGTAGGTAACAGACAAGATGATAAAAGATACCTCTGAAGGTGATTTTCTCCCTCTAAAGCCTGTTTGAGCCAAATACTAGAGCCCTCAAAATTTCCAAGTTTGCAATTTTTTGCGACTTGCCTCGGATGTCTTCAACACCCATGGCCAGAGTATAATTTTCCCCAAATAGATTTTATGATATTTAGAAACTTCAATATCTATGTAAGCTCTGCTGCTAATTTGGTTTTTTGGGAAAGAGTACTTTCGGAGAAATTACGAATATGGTTGTGCTTGTTTTTCCTGCTTGTCAAAATGGCTGGCAGGCAACATAGTAGGACAAGCATTGTCTTCTTGATTGTAAAACCCAAAATACTTTACTACTTAAAATACTTTTATAAACTGGGAGAGTGCCTCTACCATCTGTATGAATTTCATTTGAATTGGTTCACATGCACCCGAGAACCAGACTCGTTTATTTTTACTTCTTGAGAGTGAATTTTTTGGTCAAAACATAGACGTCAGGCTAGCCCGCGAACGCAGACGTATTTCCGACTGTCGCTTGTCTCCGCCGAAAATAACGTCTGCGAACCCGAGCCAGGAAACGATTACTGTGACGTAAAGACTTTTGTTTCTCCTTGGCCAATCAGATTCCATGATAGAATGAAACTTGAGTGCTCCTCGCAGCGAATACCTCGCGGAGTAGCTCTGGGGCTACTTGAGCTAAACTGTGATTGGCTTAAAATTCCTACGTCACAGAAATCGTTTCCTGGCTCGCGTTCGCAGACGTTATTTTCGGCGGAGACAAGCGATAGCCGGAAATAGGTCTGCGTTCGCGGGCTAACCTCAGGCTGACGTGATCAAGTGTGGTTACTATGGCAACGACACACCTGCCGATCCAAATATGGCTGTTTTTGTTCACCCCCGGAAAAAAATTTTCGTTTTCAACTTTGTTTCACTTTCCTGGAGAATTGCTCTTAAACGTGAGTATTTTGACTTCGTCTGCCTACATTTTCGTTGTAATTAATTGGAAGAAGCGAATTTTTCATTGACAATTTTAGAAACCAGGTTAATCGTTTTCGCTCAACCGTTGCTCAACTGATTGTGGTGTGCTAGGATCCTAATGACATTTGCTTTTCTTTACCGTGCATTGTGAGAACTTTGTAGTGAATCACAAATAGAACATGTTTTGGCGCCCAAGTTGTTGTCGCCATGTTATAACAGAATTGGTTCATGCTTTTAGCTGTGCGTATATCGAGTTATGGATGCACTTGGGAAGTTTGGTGAGCACTCAAGAAGCTAGAGTTGCTCTCGGCTGTCGCCTCGAGCAACTCTTACGCTTCTCTCGTGCTCTCCAAACTTCCCGCGTGCATCCATAACTCGATATACGCACGCTAAGCATGAACCAATTCTTAAATACAAGACCAAACCATGCACTTTGTCAGATAACTTTTACGTGTACTGGGACGCATACAAGATTTTAAAGAAGGGGGTTCGAGATGCAGACCGGCCAAGGCTGTTCCCAGTAGGGGGATCCGTGGGCATTCTCCCCCAGAAAACTTTTAAAACATCCAAGAAATCGAAAATTTTCACCGCATATACCTTGTGTAACACCGCTAACTCTCTCAAATAGTGTGCTGCCTCACTAAGGCTCGCCAGCAATTACTCATCGGTGAATCAGTCGAACAGAGTTTCTTTACTATAAAACGAGAACGCGATGGCAAATGCAGGCTAATGTTCGTGTACCCAGCCTTTTTCATATTAGCTTTTATGCTTAAACATTATGCATGAAGTGGGACGCGCTGTGGCCTCATGGTTAGTGCGTTCGATTCCGGAGCGAGTGGTCCGAGTTCGAGTCCTGACCGGGGACATTGTGTTGTGTTCTTGGGCAAGACACTTTACTCTCACAGTGGCTCTCCACCCAGCTGTATAAATGGGTACCGACGAATTTAATGCAGGGGGGTAACCTTGCGATGGAGCATCCCATCCCGGGGAGAGTAGAAATAATCCTAGTCGCTTCATGCTACTGCTACTGCAGGCCAAACAAAGCTTCCAAAGAACTGGATGATGTTCCTGATATTTCTGATGTTTATCGATGGTGAACTGTTTTCCTTTCTGGCGTCGAAGGCATTGTAATTGACAGAACATTATACATTACATCTGGTTAGTAACAGCTCTAAAATGTATTGATTTTATTTGATAATTATTCATATGTTTTTTAATCTATAATGCTCTGTGATTTAATTGTCCAAGGAACATCTGTGATTTCCCGTGGATCTGAACATGTAACGGGCCAGTGCGATCATGAAGAGGCCGATACTCGCATCGTTGTCCACGTACGCCACGTTCAGGAAGAAGGTACAGAATATGTCCTTGTTAGGACAGTTGAAACCGACATTGTCGTGAAAGCTTCATGATATTCAAACCTACAACCAACTTGCTAAAGTATGGGTGGCGTTTCGCATGGGGCAACACTTTTCACTTATTAACATCAACAGAATCTGTTCTTCTCTTACAGTCTCAGTCGCGAGCGCTACCAGTCTTCCACGCATTTACTGGGTGTGACTGTACTTCGCAGTCCTGTGGAATTGTAAAAAAAAAAAGACAGCGTGGCGAGCATGCGAATTGAAAAGTAAAGAAACTCCTGTCCAGGAGCACATTGCGACTCATCCGTTTCAGCAACTGAGTGTCTCCTCAGAGAATTTCCAGAAGCTAGAAATATTTTTAGATCATAACGTATGACAAATCAAGCCCCCTGGACTCTGTGAGCGACACATGACTGATGTTATTTTCAAAGCGAAACAGAGACTTGGACAGTATTCCTCCAACACAGGCAGATATTCGGTAAAAAATAATAATGTAATTACTTACTGAGAAGGAAGTAAACGCTTCATTAATTATCGATACCTGTTTTTCTGAAAGTAAAAAAACGAACTATAGCTTGCTTTCTAAACAATTTAAAATTCAGGATGCACTTCTGCAGCATGCACAAAAGGCAGTATACCAGGCAGATTTGGACATCATTAGAGTACGTGATGTAGGATGTTTCTTCTTCCACAGAGCTCTCGTGGGTCAAAGGAAGGAGCAACTGGTTTTGATGACCATCCCCAAAGTTTTTACTGTGTGCAGAGAGCTCATCAAGTGCACCTGCAAAGCACTCTACTCACGATGCCAATGTGCCAAAGAAATATTGAAGTACACGTCACTGTGTAAATATGACTGCCCAGAGACCATATCCAAGAGCAAGGGGCATTTGTAAGGCTTTTGCAATGAGCATAAGCATTCCTAATATGATCAGATTTGATGTATGAAAAAATGCAGTCAATTTGCGCGCATATTTTGCTTTTCTGCTAAAATTTCTTTTGCCTGTGTTATTTGCCGAGCAGCGAACACTGGGTACTAATACTGGGATTTGGCTTTGTTGACGCTATTTTAAATGCAATTTTTAATAACAGAGCAAAGTAAATGTTAAATGAGTGATTAAATCACGATAAAAATACAAAATTCTTTTTAAATTGTGTTAAAATAACTCTGGAAAATCGTACCACAGGTAGCTCAAATCTTGATTTTGGTCAAG